CCCTAATCACCTCATATTCTGACTACCAGAAGGTCTGCTATCTGGTCTCCGTGCCCTCAAGTCTCTCCAATCTATCCTCCACTCTGCTGTCAAAATGATATTCTTAAAGCCCAAGTTTGTTACTTCCAGAATCTAATATAAAGGCCTTCATATCTGCCCCCTACACTACTCACCCCTATCCACTCTTCCATCTAGTGACACTAACCCCCTTGCTGTTCCTTGAACATAACATTCCAATCGCCTGTTTCTGGGCACTTTCACTGTCCATTCCCCCATGTGGGAACTCTCCTTTCTAATCTCCACCTCCTGGGTTTCCCCAGCTTCTTTCAAGTTTCAGATAAAATCCTACCTTCTTCAAGAAATTTCTCTGTTCTCCCTCAATGCTAGAACTTTGAGATTACCTCTGATTAGCACTGTATATAGCTCATTTACATGTTGCCTTCCCCATTAGAATATGACCTCCTTGAGGGCAGGAACTGTTTTTTGACCTTCTTTGTATCCCCATGCCTGGCACATAGTAAACCCTTGACTAGACTTAATCAATTAATAGTTGAATGGGTTATTTTAGATACAGCTACCCACTTTTCCATGCTTTAAGTCACTGAGTTTTTCCCATTTCCCTTTTCTCACTTCTCTTCTCCAGTCTCACAAAACCTCATATGTATTTTCATTCCTTCTAATACCCCAGCCTAATATAGTACAGTTGCTGTGTTTGCAGAGGTTTAGAAAGGAAGTTACTCTGAATACTGTTTCAAAGTACTCTTCTGATGCCTTCAAGAGACTAATATTAGTACGTCCAACCAAATGTTTGTCAAGCTAACTAAACTAGAATTACGAAGCTGTTTAACTGCTGCTTAACATGAAGGGGAAGAAGAAAAGGAATTGAAATGGGAATGATGAAAAAAAAAGTTATTAACCCAAGGAGTCCATGAACTTGGATGGTTAAAAAAAAATCTTTATTTTCATCAATCTGTAACTGAAATTTAGCATTTCCTTCAACTATTTAAAAACACCACTCTGAGGAGGTGACCAACAGGTGTACTAGACTGACAATGGGGTCCATGATACCCAAAAAAGTTAAAAACCTCTGATTTAAAGCAAAATCATAAAATCAGACCTGAAAGAGGCCTTAAAGAGCACATTCAATGTTTTTAAACTGTACTCCTTATAACCCTGATAATCCAAATTATGCTAACAGATATTGAGAAACTTCAATGCTACTGATTCAATGCTACTTGATTCCTTCAAAAATATGAAATTATGGAAAAAAAACTATACTTTTTCAGCATGACAATAGACCAAGGTTCCTCTACTGAGTTTCAATATTTTTCTAACTCCCTTAATTCTGGAGATATTTATTATCCTTAAGCTTTCCAAACCAGTTATGAATGGGTACCATCAATACAGAAGAAACCCAAATGTATTTCAAGGACAAACTGATTTAGAAAATCTAAGCTCACTACTTCCTTTTACATTCCTGCAATGTATCCCACTTACTTTCAATTTCCACCTATTGAAATTTTTTCCCTCCTTCAAGAACCAGCTCAGGAACCAACTCTTCCATGAACCCTAATTTTACCTCAGCTAGAAGATAAATCATTAAAATTCTCACAATACTCTGTGGTGATGGACGTCTCTCGGAAAATTTTATTTATCTTTGTGCTCCCAGCATCTAATATAATGTCTTGTATATAAGTTGATTGAAAAAAATCTATGTTCGTGAATTAAGTGACTTGCTCCCTATTAGCAAAGCTGGAATAATAATCTGGGTATTTTGGCTCCTTGAATTATGTTGCCACTCTTATGGCTAAGTATGACTGAATTCTACATCCTCATCCCCAAACTTTTTTTCCCCTTAAACTCTTATAAGGTTAATTTTCCATCTTCCTGCCATTATTACTATATGTTCTTTTTATAGGTCTATGACAATGATACATTAGGGCAGTGAGTAAATTAATAAAATTATCTGACGACTATCTACTGTTTTGTATTGACCAAATTTATTCTCAATAGGTTTAGATAAATTCTTCAGCATTACCCACACATACTATCTCAAATTTGCATACTGATGTCAGGAGCATATTGGAAACAGTTCCTCTGCTGAACCGAATATAAATGAAGAAGACAAAGATGGTAGGGACCTCATACTAGAATTCTCACTGGAATCCGCTTGAATTTACTTAAGGTTTTCCATGATTCAAGAATTTATCATCAGAAGTATTTTTCAAAAGTCAAGACACTATTTCCAATAAAACACACACTTTATGTGAATTAGGGCATTAAAAACCCCTGTTATAGTTTAAAGAAGGCAGCAGATGGCCTCTAGGGTTCAAGTTCTAGCTCTGGCCTGACTACTGGCAAGTATTCCTTCTGAATTTTGCTTTCACCTAAGCTCATAGATTTAATACTGAAAGGGCCCTCAGAAGTCATCTAGTCCAATCTTATTTTATTGATGAAAAAATGAGAACCCGGGGGAAAATTGATATACCTAAGGTTACACAGGTAGCAAGTAACAGAGACAGGATTTGAACACAAGCCCTCTGACTTCAAACCAGCACTCTTACTACTCTGTTCAGTCGTTTTTCAATTGTGTCTGACTCTACGTATCTGGGGTTTTCTTGGCAAAGATAGTACAGTGGTTTGCCACTTCCTTCTCCAGTTCATCTTACGGATGAGGAAACTGAGGCAACAGGGTTAAGTAACTTGCCCCAGGGTCACACAGCTAGTAGGTGCCTAAGGCCAGATTTGAACTCAGGAGACTCATCTTCCTGACTTCAGACCAGGGATTCTATCCACTGTGCCACCTAGCTGCCCTCCTAGTACTAAAACACACGTGTAAATTTTACAATGACATACAGAAATGAGCTATTATGTATTTTTACTTCTAACAGAATAGGAATGAAGAAAAATCAACTAGTTACACAGGAAATTTAAAAAATAGAATTCTCCTGTATAGGTTAACACCTTTTCTCAGGTCTGATAAGCCATATTTTGGGTTAAAACTAAATCATTTTTAAAGAACCCTCCTCTCTACCTTGAATCTTTTGCCCATCGTTAACACTTCCAATGCACTCAATTATTTTCTAATGTGTGTGATTTGTGTGCATCCCTCAACAGCCAGTGCACTCTTAGAGGGCAGGGACTATTTTATTTCTTATCTTTGTATTCTGGGGGCCTTGAATATAAGTACTTTCAAATCTTTGTTCAGTGGAGAACAGAAACTTGGATAAAGATGAACCGTAGTTTTACTTGAATTAAATGGTACTATGCACCATTTACTTAAATTAATCCCCCCATACATACAGAATACCTCAAAAACAGCTCCCAGATCATAGGTGCTGCTTCCAGCCCTGGCCCTAAGACATCTTTCTGAGAAGCAACCCCACCCCACTACCCCCCAGAGATGTGCTTTGGTGGGAACTACAGCCACGGCTACTTAAAGAGGCTGAAAAGACAGCTCTTGCTACCATAGTCCCTGAAAATGGTTCAATATCATAAGCTGATATGATTTTGTTAGTGAAAATGACATTAAAAATAAAACATTATTATCTGTTTTGCCACTGAACCCTAAGGGCTATGATACTTTTCCACCTTACTTTGCAGCTTCAACTTCCTATGTATGTCCTCTCCCACATTAGAATGTGAGCACTTTTCTATTGGTATCCCCAAGGCTTAGCACAGTGCTTTGTATACATTAAGTACTTATTGAAGATTGCTTCTTCATTCATTCATTTCATTAAAAAAAAAAAACACAAACCTTGAACTCAGATGAAGTTTGTTTTTTCACTCCCAGCAATATCTACCAAGTACTCCCAAGTTTGGAAAACTGTAACTACACTAAATGCATTATAGTTAATGCAAAACAAGAGGAAGTGAAGTCAATCCCATTTGGACCAGAGCTCATTTTAGAAATGGCTACCGTGTTTACAGCCTGAGGGTCAAGTCACCTCTCTGGGAATCATAAACACTGCAGATACATGCACAAGCGAAGGAAGCACTTCGACTACACTCGTTTTTCATAACATCTTCAAGATGCCATATGGAGGTCACATCTCTCCATCTGATACCCACATGGGCTGCAACATAAAAACAAAAACAAAAACAAACACCCCCCCCCAACCTCATCTCCTGATTTGTTTTGCCTAAAACGGGGATATGGAGCAAAGGCCGATTCCACAGGCCCTCTCTGCTGCTCCCACTCAGAAGGCAGGGTGTGGAGAGATGTAATTTAATAGTCTTGGGGTGGGGGGGCCGAGAGCGAGAAGCTACATCATTTGGACTTCTGTGACCATGTGCATGCAGTGTAGCTCTGGCACGGGCAATGCCAACCTCCCCGCCCCAAAGCGCCTCCCAGGGGTTCAGTGCCAGGCCCAACCAAACCCAGTCTCAACCCACCACCAGAGGCCGCTGTAGGCCCCTCCTCGGCCTCAGGAACCATCTCTGCGCCTGCGTATTCGAGAGAGTCTACTACTTGAAAATTTATTTATTGAGAGAAAAGAAATCCTGGGCGCAAGCGCGCTCCGCCGCCGCCCCGCACTCGGAGCGCGCACCTGAATGCCAGTCCCCGGACGGCCCGCGCGCCTCGGCTCGGTCACTTCCGTCTAGCGAGGGGAGAAAAGAGGGAGGGAACGGGAGGCTTGAGGGCCAGCCCGAGCCCTGACCCTTCAGAGTAGGCGGCGTCGGCCACCACATTAACCCCTAAGACTCACCAAGTACAAGGGCTGCCACCGGTTCTCAGCATCCACCTCCTCAAACTCCCTCTCGATAGTGACGGACATGGTGGCGGGCGAGACCTGGCGCGAGAAGAGCCGCCGCGGCCGGAGACGCACATGCCCCGTCCTCACTGTAACAGCCGAGTGCGAGCCGCACTCGTCTCCCCGGCGGCGGCCGCTTAACGCATGCGCGAGCCGCTTTGCCTGCTTTCTCCTCCTTCCCGCTCCCCCCTCTTTCAACCCCCAACGACGACGCGGAACACCAGCTGCTTGCGGCCGGGAAAGTACCTGAAGCGTAGAACGTCAGCACGCTGAGTTAGCGCAGAAGAGGCGGGTGGGGAGGGGGCGATTCTACAGTCCGGGAAGAGCCGAGGGAGTGGTCCCTGCCTGGGGGAATCGGCGCCCAGGTGGGGAGGGGGCGGGGCCGCCAGAGACCACCCTGCGGGGCCTCGGGATCCTGAGGGACGGGAGGAGGGAGGAGCGAGGCGCTCGTCGGCCCCGCCCCCTGGGCGGACGCCGAGCTCCTAGGCGGCTCAGCGCTCCCGCGTGGAGGAAAGCGGCGGGCAGAAACTCGGGAAAGTAACTGAAAGGAGCCTCTCCTCGGTCCTCGTGCCGTTGCCCCCGCCCCTGTACTCGCCCCGCCCCGCCCCGCCGCTCACTGATCTTTCCCTAGTTTTCTTTTTCCACTCTTAAGTCTGTGTATGGGGGGGGGAGAGAGACTTTCAGCCTTGAGGCCACTGGCTGCCTAGGTCCTTGGGTGCGGCCTTTTGACCGAGTCCAAGTTTTACAGAACAAATCATTTTCTTAAGGGGATTCTGTGAAGTTTGGAGTCAGTCAAAGGGCCGCACTTGAGGACCTGGAGGGCAGCATGTGGCCTTGAGGCCGCAGGTTCCCCATCCCTGGCCTATGGGGATGCGGACAGAACCTGGGATTTCTTTTCCTAGGGAGCTTCCAGGTGAGGAGACTCCCCCTGCCCGTGCCCTTGGCCCAGAGAGTGATCTGGGGCTCCTGTTATTGTTTTTGGAGGCTGGGCCAGATTATCTTCACTTATATGTAACTGCACAGAGATCGTTTTCCACCCTGCTGTACCCGGACAGCACATTTCTTAAGCCCTCAGAGAAAAACCAGTCCTGATGCCAGCCTCTGTTTGGTGGTTCGGTTTTCTATGGGGGGAGTTTTTGTCTTTATTTTAAAAATTTAAACTAGCAGAGCTCAGCGCTAGGTGGCCGGATGGATAGAGCTCTAGGAGACCTCAGACACTTTCTAGTTGTGTGATTCCTAGTGAGTCACTCTATTAGTTTCCTCATTTGTAAAATGGGAATAGTATATGAGTCTATGTATATGTAAAGCACATTCCTTAAGCCATAAGCACTGTGTAAGCAGGTGGTAGAGATTGACAGACAAAATGAAACCATCCTTTCCCTCAATGAACTTATATTTAACTGGGTGGCAGCAGGGGAATCAAGTCTTCCCAGCAGAGTTGGCATCTGAGCTGTGGCATGAAGGAAGAGTGCTGGATTTGGAGCCAGAAGATGTGGGGCTGAAACCTACCTCTGTCATTTAATCACTTTTGTGACATTAGATATAAGTCATAGTGAACTCTCTGGGACTAAATTTACTTATCAGTATAATGAAGGCCTTGGACTAGATGGCCAGTAAGGACATTTTCACTAGTAAGTATGGGCCTAGACCAGTAGGGCCTCTTCCAGATCTAAATTTATGATGTGAGTGATTTGAGGGTTACAGGAAAGGCCTCTCTAACCCAAAATTGGAGGCAGCAGGGTGGCACAGTGTTAGATAAATGCTGGACCTGGAGTCAGGCCTGAGTTCAAACCAAGCCACATTCACTTATAGCTATGTGACTTTGGCCAAGTCATTTAACCTGTTTGCCTCAGTTTCCTTGCTTATAAAATGAGGATAAAAATAGCACCTACCTCTCAGGTTTGTTGGAGAATAAAATGAGTTAATATTTGTAAAGTGTATTGCAAACCTTAAAGTATTATGTAAATTTATCCCAAATGTGTCAAACATATTCTGTTGTCTTAAATGCCACCATTATGGATTGATTACTTATAGATAGCTTGGAACTTGAGTTCATATTTGACCTCTAACACTTACTAGCTGTGTGTTACTGGGCAAGTAATTTAACTTCTACCTCACTTTCTGCAACTGCAAATAGGGATAATAATAGGGTCTACCTCATAGGTTTGTTGTGAGGATTAAATGAGATAATATTTGTAAAGCACATACTACAATGCCTGGCACATTGTAAGCTCTTAATACATGCTTATTACCTTCCTTCTTTCTTTCTTCCTTCCTGAAAGAAGGGATATCAGACTAGAATAATATCCCCCCCGCCCCTTCAATATTACTACAAGAAATATTTTTCTTGTTCAAGCCACTTTCCTGGTGACCTGCCCTTAATGGGGAAGTAGTGCTCCAAAGGTTTGATTCCCTTCCCATCAAATCCCAGTTACACAAAGACCATTACAAGTAGTGAATATCAAATAAACTTCTGTATCCAAGCTGATAACAAACAAGTCATATAAGTTACAAAAATTAGAATATAATAAACAATATACAAAGAAATGAGCTCTCCTTTTGGGAGTAACAGAGACTCCTCAATCTCAGCCTGGGCAACATTCCCTAAAATCTCTAATTTAGCAAGCTGTAAATCAGGGACATGTTGAGGCTTCAGCTCCTCTGCATGCTTGCTTCTTCCCAGTTTTTCTTTCCCTTCAGGGATCTTTCCTTGAAGAGTACTTAGAGCCATGTGTTTCTTCATTTGAAGCTAGAAGCCAGCAGATATCTTTCTTACAACAATGTAAATAGGAAGAAGAGTGACCACAGAAAAAGCAAAAGTGTTACAAAATTACAAAGAACCAACATGGCCCTAAAGAAGAGATAGAAGATATCTCCTTCCTCCTTTGAGGAGGTGACAGGTCCTCCCTTATGGATCATTGCATAGATTTTCAGACCTTTTTAATGCATTATTTAGTTTTGGTTATTTTTTTCTTCCTCTTTTTCTTTTTCCTTTAAAATAGTTCTATAAAGTATAACTCTCTGGAAGGGGGTAAAGGGAAAAGATACTGGAAGAAATATAGTTGATATTAAAACAAAAGATATCACAAACTTTTTTTTTTACATGAGGCAGTCGGGGTTAAGTGACTTGCCCAGGGTCACACAGCTAGTAAATGTCAAGTGTCTGAGGTCGGATTTGACCTCAGGTCCTCCTGACTGCAAGCCCTGAGCTCTATCTATTTCGACACCTAGCTGCCTCTCAAACAAACAAACAAAAAAAAGAAATCTCTCCTCTCTTAAGCTCTGCCTACTCCACCACTCACATAGACATGGAGTGCTAACTAATGGTTATCTTCACTAATGATGAGTCTTATGCAGATATAACAAGTATGATCCTGGATTACATATACATTCATATATGCCAAAACTGGGGCAGGTGATGAGTGAAAAATGGGGCCAATAGGATAGTCATCTAGGTGGAGGGGTGCCAAGAAAATGACATGGATGACAGTAGGTACTAATTTTAGTGGAGGTTAATAGACAAAATGGCAGTAATGGCAGAAAGAGGAACTTGAGGCCAGACATTGTTTAACATTGATGTTATTGGCATCCATTGGACCAGGAGTGAATGCCTAAAGAGCCCAGTGAGAAATGAGAGGTATATCCAGATCTGGGCAATCAGCAGCCATTACAGCAAACTAAGTGGAGAATATAGGCAGGAGACCCAAGTGAAGAGAGTTAAGTAATAACAGCACTGCCCAATCAAGTCAGAACCTCTAGCACAGCAAAAGGATTGTAGTAGCTGAAGCCCTCCACGCCTTGAGCTGCAGGAATGAGGGCTTTATATTTGAGCATCGGAACTGTGATGCTTTAAGTGATCAGTACCCAAAAGGGGATATGGCTTGAGACACCTATTCTTGTGCTTCAATGTATTTGTTTTCATTTTTTTCTAAAAAATTATTGAAGAGCTATATACAGTTAAAAATAAAACAAAATGTAAAACATGACACAAAAATGGGAAATTTTAAATAGTCCATATTTTAGATCATTTCTGTTGTGACCAATTCTTCATGATCCCATTTGAGGTTTTCTTGGCAGAGATACTGAAGGGTTTGCCATTTCCTTCTCTGGCTCATTTTACAGACGAAAAAACTGAGGCAAACAGGCTTAAGTGACTTGCACAGGATAACACAGCTAGCAAATGTCTAAGCTAGCTTTGAACTCAGGTCTTACTGACTGCAGGCATTTTGCTCTGTCTACTGAGCCACCTAGCTGCCCCGAGGTTTGAATTAGGATGTGCAAGTAAGGTAGCTTGAAAATCAGTGATGATCAGAATAACACCTTACAATTGTATAGTCCATTATAGTTTACAAAGTGTTTTCATATCCAGTACCTGTTTGAGCCCCACAGTACAAGGAAGAGAGTAATTATAATCATTTTATAAATGTTGTCTTTGAAATAAGGGTCATGCCTGCAGTCCTTCAGCTAATAATAATAATCCCAGCTTTTCTGAGTTCTAGTCCAGTACTTAAATTTCAATTGTTACCTGCTTTTCTTTTCAATCAGACTCTTGCTTCTAGTTATGATGACTTTAGGCTTATACCCTCTCCTTGGGTAAGTTTGTTGTTTTTTGTGTTTTTTTTTAGCTTTCCTTTTAGCCATGTGGCTCATGCACCAGTCAAGATTGTAGTTGAAATGCTGTTTAGAATATAATAAAGGAAAGGAAAGGAACAGTAAATCAACCATATATGTATGAAGGATTGGTCTTATACCCAAGTGGAGAAGGTGATTGCCCTGGTTTATTTATTTTTTAAAACATATACTGGAAACCTTTATTATCTACAAACCAGATTAATTGGATATGGTTTAGGTCAGTGCTTCCTAAACTGTGGGTTGCGACCCCATATGGTGTTACATAACTGAATATGGGGGTCACGAAAAATTTGGTGACAGTAAAAGGTTTCTGAACATACAACAACCAAAAATTAATTCAAAATCAAACATGTAATGAATCCAAGGTTTGCCCATGTGTTGCACTGCTCAGCTTCACTGCAGCTTTCATTCTTAACATATAACATGCTAACTTTGTACTGAGCGTGCTGTCTCACAACACAATGCCAATGAATGCTGCCAGAAACACCTCAGCTCAGATTCAAGACTATTGTATGTTTTGAATTGTAGTATTTTTACTGTACATATAAAGTTTTCTGCTCTTACAGAAACGTAATAGTTTAAAGAAAATAAAGACTTTTAATATTTTCCTACCATCATGCCTCAGCGTGTATCAAATTAGTATATCTTTGAATTGTATTGTGTTAGAATGTTTGATTTAACAAACTACAATTATCTCTTTCTTTTACAGAAACATAAGTGTTTAATTGCAGCAATAAAGACAAAAGCCATTTAATAATATTTCTCTACCATCACTGCTGTATGTGTATGTAAGTGTAAACATCAATTTTTAAAATTAAGTACAAACAAATGTAATTTCATACACTAAAGCTAATATTTAAGAAATTATTGGTGATATTTGTTTATATTTTAGGACAAAAATATTTTTTCAGTTATGGATAAGTGGCTAAATTTAGACAGAAGAGGTAAAAATACTGATGACAATGCAGCAGAGTCTTCGCTACCAGGTTGTAGCATACCTAAATTGACAAGAAAAGGAAAATATGTTAAATCATTTTTGCAATATGAATTTACTTCTAATAATGATGATGGTGTGGAAAAGCCTCTTTGCTTAATTTGTAAGGAATTTTGGCTGTAGAGAGCAGAAAACCAGCCAAACTAAAATGACATCTTAATACCAAGCATGCAGCATATTTCAATAAAACAAAGGAATATTTTGAGTGACTTTTAAAATCTTTAAATGAGGAGAAAAGTGTTTTGAGAAATTTGTTACTGTCAATGAAAAGTATTGACTTCATCTTACTAAACTTCTTATTTAATTGCAAAAACTAAAAAGCCCTACATAATAAAAGGATATCTCTTGTTACCTGCTGCTATTAAAATGTCAGAAATAGTTCATGGGGGAAAATATGCAGATGACATTCATAAAATTCCTTTATCGAATGATACTGTTTCCAAAAGAATTTCTGAAATTAGTAATGACCAATTCTAGCAGCTTATTACCAGGCTTGAGGGCAGCCCAAAGTTTGCAATTCAGTTAGATGAAACAACTGATATTTCTAACGTGACACTTAGAAACTGTTAACTTCATGTAAGATATGTTTATGAAGGAAGCATACATAAGGAATTATTGTTTTGTCACCCTTTGGAAGGGCACACAAGAGTCCCCTCTTTAAGATATTTATCTTAAAGTTAATGAATTTTTTACAAATGAAGGTTTACAGTGGAAAAACTGCTTTGGAGTCTGCACAGACAGTGCTAGATTAATGATGGGCAAGAATGTTGGATGTGTAGCAAAAGTTAAAGCTGGTGGCAATGAACATATCACTTTTACTCACTGCATGATCCATTGGGAGGCACTTGTAGCCAAAAAAATATCACCAGAGTTAGGTGTTGTGCTTTGTGATACTATCAAAATCATTAACTTCATTAACAGTCATTTGTTTTCAAACCTTTGGAAAGATATGGACTCCAATTAAAAAAGTAAAAAAGCTTAATACTACATGCCGAAGTAAAGTGGCTCTCAAGAGGGCAAAGTTTAAACAAATTATTGAATTGAAAGATGAAGTTATATTTTTGAGCAGAAATCCAGTTTCGTTAATTTTTTTCATAATGAGTTATAGCTTTCAAAAGTGTTATTTGAAAAACTCAATGATTTAAACATGTTTACTTCAAAGAAAGAATTGTAACATATTTATGTTAAAAGATAAAATTGAAAGTTTAACTAAAAAAGTTAACATATGGAGGAATAGGGTGGAAAATGGTTCTTTAGAAATGTTTACAGCTACAGATGATTTTATAATTGAAAATAACCTTTCCAAAGATTTAATTGTAAGAACTATAATTGACCATCTGAAGTACCTAGAGACCCAGTATCAGAAATACTTCTCTTCAAATTTTGATTCTAAAAAACTAAGTTGGGTTCATAAAGCATATTCAGTTGAAATAAAAAATGTCAGTCATCTGCCATTAAAAGTTCAAGAAGAATTTGCTGAGTTATCAATGGACACAGGTTTAAAACTAAAATATCATTAAATGAATTTTAGCTTGAGATTAGGACAGAATTTCCAACAATTTCTGAAATGGTCCTAAACATACTTCTGCCATTTTGTACTACATATTTATGTGAAGTGGAGTTCTCAGCATTGAGAATTATAAAATCAAAATACCTATCAACTCTGAAAAACATTGAAGATGCTTTATATTGTACAGCATCAAACATTCCACCAAGATTTAATTCTTTATCTAAAAATAAACAAGCACATCCATCTCATTAGTATGCAAATTTGCTTTCATCTTTAATAAATGGTAAAATTATATATATATATATATATATATATATATATATATATATATATATATACACCAAAGAATTGTTTTTAAATAAATTTCTTTATGATTTATTATCAGTAAATGTTTGATTTGTGTACCTATTTTATATACCTATGTACCTGGGGTCATGTAAAAATTTCTCAGACGTAAAGGGGTTACCAGTGGAAAAAGTTTAAGAAGTCCTGGTTTAGATGATTCCAGTTTTATTGGCAACATCCAAAGCACCATAGTTGGGCAATGACAGCCTTCTTTTCTCCATCAAACTGGGTCATTTTCTTGATCTTAGCCAAATCGCTATCATTCAGCTCCTTGACAGCCTCCTTGATCTGATGTTTATTGACCTTGATATCCTCAGTGAATATTGGAGTATTGTTGTCCTCATTTTTCTCCATCGATGAGGGAAGGCAGGCAGAGAATATCTGCATGTGTTTTACAAACCTCAGTTATATTCAGAAGTAGAAGTCATAGTGGTCAAGCTTTTTACTCCAAGGGGGACTTTTCTGAAGGGCCTTGGGCTGTCTTTGAAGCCACAGTGTCAGAAGTTAGATTTTTCTTTTGTTGAAGCTTTGGACATCCTAAAACACTGCCTTCTTGGCATGCAAGGCCTTTGACATGTGGCTTCCGTCTTCCTTCTTTGACTTTGGCATCATTGTGGGTGAAAAAGCTGTCCTGGTATAATTTGAAGGCCATCAGGAAGGCCTCTTATGCCCTAAACATCTCTTCTGAAATTCCAGCATTAGAATATTATTTCTTTAGGGTAATAAGATGCTCCTTTTGCAGTCTACCTTAAATTGCAATAATTCATACCTTAATGTGAATTAAGTTCAACAGATGCTTCCCTGCTAACCACTGACTGAATGGAATTTTGATGAGGTGGGTAAGAGAAAGCATAGTTTTGGAACATAAAAAAGAGGCTTGGGTAGGCAGGCCTAGGAAACCTAATATAGCATAGAGAAGTTGCTACTGCTGGGAGAACAGAGGCTAGTGACCTGCACCACTCTCTGTTCTGTATCTAGTCATTGATGTTTGCTGGAATTCAGCTCTGGTAAAACCTTACCTCTTATTAGGGAGATTCAACTTTGAATTCTCACACTCATTGGCTCAATAAAGTCCCATACCAACATCCAGGAAATCTTGTTATTTTTTGAGTCATATCCAGGGACTTCCCAAAAAGAAGAGTAGGAAAAGAGGTGCTCAGTGCACCATAAGAATTAGGCAAAAGAATTTATTCCTATGGAGAAAGAAATGATAGCCATAAAAAGAATTACAACATGTGTCAACATTATAGAATTCATGGAAATTGAGAGGATGCCCATTAACTGGGGAATGGCTGAGCAAGTTGTGGTATATGAATGTAATGGAATACTATTGTGCTATAAGAAATGATGAGCAGGCAGACTTCAGAAAAACCTGGAAAGACTTATATGGTCTGATGCTGAGTGAAGTGAGTAGAACCAAGAGGACTTTGTACACAATAACAGCCACAGTATGCGATGACTAATATTGTTAAACTGAACCCTTCTCAGCATTACAAAGATCTAAGACATCTTCAGAGGCCTCGGGATGGAAAATGCTGTCCACATCCAAAGAAAGAACTATGGAAGTCAAATCGCTATCACTTATTTTTACCTTCTCTTGAGTTTTGTTTCATCTTTCTGATGGTTCCTCCTATTGGTTTTAATTTTTACTTACAACTTCACTAATGTGAAAATATGTTTAATAGGAATGTAAATGTAAAGCCTATATCAGATTGTGTATGTCTTGGGGAGGGTGGGGGGGAGGAAGGGGGAGAAAAAATTTCAACTCAAAAGCATATGGAAGTGATTGTTGATAAATCGAAACAAATTAATAAAATTTTTTTTAAAATTTTAAAAATTATAGAATTCAGTCACTTTTTTTTCTTTTTGAAAGACTGGGTTTCCCTATCTTGCCCAGGATGGAAGTGCAGGGGCCATTCACTGCCTAGTTCTACCATGATCTGCAGGAGAGCTCTGACTCGTTCTACTTTCCGGAAATATCTTGCTCTCTTCCACTGCTCCCAGATGGCCCCCATATTAATGCAGAACTTAATAGATCTCCAATCAGTTTACCTTCCTGCAACTCAGAACCCTTGAGCCCAAGAGATCCATTAGCCTCAGCCTCCCCAGCAGCAGGGACTATAGGTTTGAGCCACCACTGGCAGGCTAGAATTCAGTAACCAGTACCCCTCCTGGGAGGCTACTATTCAAGCCTCATTGGGAGATAATATAATGTGCAGGACTGCTAATTAGATATTTTTATATTTCACTTTTTCCTTGAACTGTCCTAATATTCCAGTGATGAAAGACTGCTGGCAAAGCAGATTTTCCCACTCTGGTGGACAGCATGGCTTTCCACTGTGTCTGTGGGTATTACTTCCATTATCATACCAGGGGAAGACAGTACAACTCCTATTTTTCAGAGTTTTTGAAATTCACAAGGCTACCTATTTAAGAAAAGGAAAGAATCACACCCTATCCTAGACATAGGCTTGCCTAAGCAGGACATGTGTGTACTGTCAGATGGGGCCATATGGGAGGTAGGGCAGCTGTCCTTCCTCCACTAGATTCTCTGGATGCAATTCAAAATAGTCCTCATGCTTTGAAGCCAGAAAGGAAATGAGAGAGGTAGAGGGACATGCCACCCTTTTTTTGTACTGATTTCTGGCTTAGTAGCCCATTAGGGAATTCTTGCATGACCATATTCAAGGCCAGAAGTAGCATTCCTCCCTCTTCCCTCAAGCTTTCACAGGGTGGACTAAAGGCAGAAAGAGAATATCTGTGCATGTGTTTTACAAACTCCGTTATATTCAGAAGTAGAAGTCGTTCAATGAAGGGGAGAATAAGCCAGGCCGCAGAGAAAACTCCAGGAGTCAGGAGAATAGTGAATTAAGGAAGGAGGAAGATCCCAAAGACATACTTTTCCTATTCACCATTTTGTCTAAGGTTAG